ATGACTGATAACCTTGTGTGAGACCTCTCTCCTGGCAAGGGGTTTCAAATTTCAACCAAACATTTAAGATGCCAAAAGGGAACAAGACTAGCAAGACTTAGAATTGGGGGGAGGCAAGTCAGGTTCCTACTGTGTTTCCTTGAAAATAAGACCTACCCCCTAAATAAGCCCTAGCAGGATTTCCATACATTTGTTAAACATAAGCCCTACCCGGATATTAAGACCTAGTGATGGGCGTGGCTATGCAGATAGTGATGGGTGTGGCTATACATGCATTTCGGTGCAGAGTGGTAAGGAAGACTGGAATACCTCTTATCTGCCACAGCTCCTTTCTCCCAGCCGTTCCCACTTGCAGGGGTGTGTGCGGTAACCACGGTTGCAGGCTTCCTATTGCACACATGCAAACGGCTAGGGGAAAGGAGTTCACATATCACTAAGCGCCAGCCCCACCAACAAGGTTGGCTCCCCCTGTCAGGTTCCAGAAGATGACTTAACTGTATTTGAATAAATGTAGATTGTTGTATTATACTTAATAAAAATAAGACCTTCCCTGAAAATAAGCCCTAGTGTGTCTTGAGAAAAAAATAAATATAAGACGGTGTCTTATTTTCAGAGAAACACGGTACCTGCAATCACGCTACTCAGTCTGGCAAGCACCCAGCTTGGTGGGGAGGAATTTGGGAAAAAGCCAAGTATGAGTCTTCTCAAACCACAGAGTATGGTCAGTACGAAACAGTCCACGTGCCTGATTTTCCTGGGTCTCCTCCTATTGGAGATGAGTGTTTCACCTCGTGGCTGTGTGTAGCACACTCATCCCTGCTCTGATTTTAGTTTCGAATCCCTTTGTTCTCCGGCAGAGTGATAACTTCTTCTTGCCAAGAGAACACTTGGTCATACTTAAGAGCTTAGGTCCCTTGCGTGCAGTGATAGGGTGGCACATTTAGCATGAAAAATGTGCTTAAGATAATGACTAAAAACAAATAGCACCTTGCTGATGGCTCAGCAGAAGTAGTGCCATCGCCTTTAAGCCCCTGCTTGGTTAACAGCTGTACTTCTGGAAGCTTCTACAGTCACCTCCAGACACAGTCACTGCTCTGTTCCTTCCCACTTCATAACACCACTTGGAGCACCAATCTCACAGACTTGTGTTAGTTTTCCACACTATGTCTCCTTGATTAGACTGTGGGGCCCTTGAGAGCAAAGAACATGTTTTATTCATTTTCTTAGTTCGTTGGACTTGGTGTCTGGTGCTTATTCCTGGAGGAAGGTGTCTCTTTACTCAAGTAGTGTAAATCAAGAGGAGATTGGGGACTGCAGATTGGGGGTTCAGGGATCCTCTCTCCTACGGGATCACAGGATTCGATCGGGTACTAAGCAGCACCCTGGTTTTGAGGGCTCCTGCCCACCACACTCCTCTCCACCCTAACATCTCAATCTCAATTCTGCTAACCCCCTGAGAGGGCTATAAGTAGATCAGAGTGCCCACCTCCTGGAGGTCCCCAGGACCAGACCCAGGCCATGGTATCCCATCCTTCTGTAGAGCTGTCACTCCCCCCCCCCCCAATTCTAACTCCCAGGCCTTCCATCCCCATCTGGGCTCTTTCCCCATCTGGCTCTGTGCGCTCCCTAATCTGACCCTGTCTGTGTCCATTCACGAACAACTCTCTTCCCCATGCTACCTGGAACTCACCAGCACCCCTCAATCCTACAGGCCCTTAACTCTCGGAGACCAGCGCACAACCTTCTTGTCTGCTCTGAAGCTCTAAAGTTAGGCCTGTACATCTCACACAGGCCCTCGAGACTTCCTAGTACTCTACTACACATTGATAATACATTCACTTTCCCGCTCTCTGAGAGGAGTAGGTCACGTCTTTTCTTAATTCCTCAAACCGCCATCATTTCCTATTCCTTCCTCACTCTGACCTATCTTGTTTTCTTATTTCACTGTGGACATGAAAATATCCCCAAGACATCACCAGCTCCCTCTCTTCCCCCATCGCCACTGCCTTGGGGCTCACATGCTTTGCCTTCTCTGTTACTTCTGGATGCTCCCCTTGGGCACTGAGCCCCCATTTCCCCTGTTTTCTACACCTTCCATCTCTCTCTGTCCCATCAGAACATAAATGTGATGCTGCATCTCCAGTGCCCCCCTTTGAAAATTCTCTATCCCTCCAGCTACATCACATGTCCTGCCCACTGCCTGCTTACGCTTTTCCCAAGAGTTGTCTATTTGTCTTATTCCCACGTTGTCATCTTTCATTCTCCCCAGAAAGTGTACAATCGGGTCATTGTCCAAGCTCTTCTGAATCTCTTAGCCTCCCTCCTTGGATGCTAAGAAGCTCCCTCCTGCCAAGTCCACGGTTGATTTCTGGTCCCGCTCTCCCTTTTGAAAGGTCCTGCTTTTTCTTGAAATGTCTTCTTTAGGCTTGGGGGACAACGTATTCCTCATTTTCCTCCTACCCCAAGCTGCTCCTTCTCAATTCCTTTTGCTGCTTGGTTCTGTTTCTCCTGACCCGGGTCTGAGAGTGCCCCAAGGCTCAGTTCTGATCTCTTCTCTCATCTGTCTGTCTTGTAGATCCTGCTATTCCTGAGGCTTTAAAGAGGTTGACATGTCTCAAGTTCATGTCCATGGCCCACCTTCTCCTCTCAGCTCCACATTCATATGCATGTTTAATAGACACATTTCTCAACACAGTAGGTGACGAACAAATGCTTCTAATTCCCATGGCCTCTGGCTCCCTCCATCCTGCTATCGTCTGGTTTTCCCAAACTCATTGCTATTTACCCAGTTGTCCAGGCTCTGAACATGCCTTTTTCTCCCACCCTATGACCAAACTTGTCAGTTCTACCTTTGACATGAGTGCTGAATGTCATCACTTCTCACCACCTCCACCGTGTCCCCTGAGGCCAAGGTGTCACAACCTCTCTTCCCCCCACTTCCCTGGTAGCCTCTTAACTGGTCTCTCTGTTTCCACTCTTACCCCCAAACCCTCCATTCTCCATCTGACAACCAGAATGATCCTTTCAAAACATAAACTTACCTATTCAAAACCCTCCAGTGATCTTCCATCACAACTAGAATAACATGCAAATTTTATTCTGGCCCACAACACTCCAAGGACTTTGACCTTGTCTGTCTCCTTAGTCTCTTTGAAAACACCTTCCCCTTCTCTGTGTGTGGCTCAGCCATACTTGCCTTCTGGAACTTTCCTTGCTTTGTACTCACTGTTCCCTCTGTCCAGGAAGCCTACTCCTCCCTCCAGTCAGGACTCTGCTCAAATACTGCCTCTAGAGTCCGTGTTCTCCTCACACACCACCTGTCTCTCCCTAGCCTCCTATCCTGTTGACCTTTTGATAGTACTTGTTGATCACTGACTTAGGATACATTTAATTCTTTACATCTATCTCTTCCAAAAGCAAACATCTCATGGGCTTTTCTGCCCTGCTTGTTCGAAGTGTCTAGCACAAGTACTCAATAAATACTAGTCGACTAAGCAGATGTGTGCATAGCTATGCAAAGTGCACCAGGTGGCAGAGACGAGAGGCAGGAACCTGGGTTGCCCTGAGCAGTTTGAAGCTGCGATGTGCTTCCAAGAGCAGAGATATTAATGGTCACAGACGGGCACGGTGGGCAGAGAAGGGGCTCTCCAAAGCCCTGCAGGACAGAAGATTGTGCAGCGATAGGAAGATTTAAATCCCCACAATCCATAAGAGCAGCCTCAGCCACATGTGGCTATGGAGCACCTGAAATGTGGCTAGTGGGACTGAGCAACCGAATGCTAATTTTATTTAACATCAGCTTACATTTAAATAGCTACACGTGGCTGGTGGCTACATTAGGGCCTGAAGCATCCCTTCCCCTGTGACTGCAGGGTAATCACGGAATCATGCATACCTTACTGGGTTTTAAAGAGGACTCATGAAATAAAAATCACGGTTAAAATATCTGGAACATAGATGGCATTCAAAAAGTAATCACGACAGAATTGCAAATTAAACTATTTTAAACACATGCCATTTAAATTTAACTCTAACGCACCTGAAATGGACTTTTATTAACTTTTACCATGACTTTTTGTTTTTGGAGTTAGTGGATAAGCAATGCATGGGTCTATATTTGAGATGACGTATTCAAAATAGCAAACAACCATTGGGAGATCTCACCAAAGGCCTGTCAGAGGCAGATAACGATTCCAAGTGGATCAGCTTGCCGACACACAATAAACTAATTAGTTTTGACAACAGCTAATGTAGCATCTGTAAAAATTGGATTTATAAACATTACACGTACCGTGTTAGTTTCAAACAGTCATCTGCAACTTTCCAGATGATTCTGGATAAGAGTAGTGTTTGTTTTAATAGTTACTATTAAAGGAATAAGTTCTGATTGGAAACATTAGGATAAATTATGTAAGGCTTAAATTAGTTTGGACATAAATCATTTTGTTTACTACCACATAATTCCTTCCATATGGAATCCAGGAAACAAAATTAACACAGATAGAAAACATAAAGAGGCCATTATAACAAAGCTTTATGAAGAAGCTAAGGTAAGATAAAGTCACACCCTTGTCCGGAATAAGCCAGGTACTCGTTTTCCAGCCAGGAGAATTCCAAGTCCGGAGCAGAGTGAAAGTGGGCTTGGGCAGTCTGCCTAAGTACTTGGTGGAGATTGAGACTGGAGAGGGCAGATGTGTTTAAATTAAACGCTTGCTAAAAGGCATTAAGACAAGCCGACATTCTTATTAAGGAGACCAATTAATCTCGATCAGCTGGAAGCCACTTTCCAGCCCTTGAAAAAGTGCCCCAGGTCCTAATGTAAATGAGGTTGGAGTGGAGGAACAGATCCGGGTCTACCCGAGCGCCTCCCCTAACCGCCCGGGGGCTTTGCTGTTTGGAGCACAGATTCTCTGCGGTCCCCAACGCAAGTCTGGGGTAACAGAGGGGGGAACACGGTAAAGACCCCCCAGAAGCTAAGCTGAGGTGTTATAACGACTTACCAATGGGCATCGCTAGGAAAAAAGGCAGCCAGCAGAGGACGAAGCAGCCGACCACGATGCCCAGCGTCTTGGCTGCTTTTTTCTCCCGGGAAAACTTGAGCAGCCTCACGGAGAAGTGCGTCTTGTTCTTGGCGCTGGCCGCGCCGCCGCCGCCCGCCGGGGCGTTTTTCCGATGTATTCGGAGCGTCACTTGCTCTGAGTCCGACTTGTCGGTCTTAAGGCCGGACTTGAGGCCCCGGCTCTCCCTCTTGGCCACCACGTAGACCCGGCAGTACATGACCAGGATGATGGCCAGCGGCACGTAGAAGGAGCCCAGCGCGGAGAACAGCACGTAGCCCGGCTCCTCGTTGATCTGGCAGACGGTCTCGTCCTCGGGGGCCGGCTGCCTCCAGCCAAACAGAGGCCCGATGGAGATGACCAGGGACAGCGCCCAGACGCAGAGCAGAGCCATGACGCCCCTCCTCGGGGTGACGATGGCGGGGTAGCGCAGGGGGTAGCTCACGCCTATGTAGCGGTCGATGGAGATAATGCAGAGGCCCAGGATGGACGCCGTGCAGCACAGCACGTCCACTGCCGCCCAGATGTTGCAGAACACCCTGCCGAAGGCCCAGTAGCCCAGGACCTCGAAGATAGCGGAGAAGGGTAGCACCGTGGAGGTGAGCAGCAGGTCGGCCACCGCCAGGTTGACGATGTAGTAGTGAGTGACCGAGTGCAGATGCCGGTGACAGGCCACGGAGAGGATCACCAGGATGTTCCCGAGCACCCCGAAAAGGATGAGCCCCCCCAAGATCACCCCGAGAAGAATGGCCTTGGAAATGTTCACCGGTGCCGGCGGGTGCGTGCAGTTGGAGCTGTCAGAAGCATTTCCAGAGAGAAACACCATGGTCCCAGTCCCTGCCGGCAAGGTCCGGCTCTTCAGGGCCACCCCCGGGCGGGGGCGGAGGCGGGAGCGAGGGAATCAGAAATTCTCGGTCTGAGGGATCTCTGCCAGCTGGGCTTGGCTGGGGGCGAGAGAGAGCACACGAGTGGGGAACAACCCTGCCCAGTCCTGGGAACACTCAGAAGGCCGCGCTGAGGGGCAGCGCATGAAAGGAGACATGGCCAAGGGCGCGAGGGCCTGCCCAGGGAGCGTCTCCACCTGCTGCGCTGGCCCCGGACCCCAAGTGCCTCCCTGCTCAACCAAGACTTGGCTGAGAAGGTCAAAGAGACACGTTGCAAAACGCGATTCCAGAATTATGGGAGTCCACTTTTCTGCCCTGTCTGATTCGTCCTGGTGGGGAGAAGATTCAGTATTTTGCGCATAATTTGGAATTCTTTTAGAATTTAAAAATCCAGCTCCAGATTCTTCCCAAACCACTGCAAAGTAGAGATCAGCCGTCGGCGTTCAAAGGCAGGGACCCTTGGCATCGGGGCGCTTCTCCGCAGCTAACCCACATTTTTGGCTGCCCCACCGAGGGCTCGCGCTAACTTCAGCTTTTAGGCGAACAGGCCAGGCGACACTGGCGTGAAATGTTTGCCGAGACCCATGCTGCTGCGGAGCGTCCCTTGACCGTGTCCACCTGAAAGAGTACAAAGAGAAAGGCAGGATGTGAGCCAGGTGCCCCGGGGAGAGAGGCCGTACAGAGCTCCCCCGGATGCGGGACCCCCGCTGGGAGCCCAGCTGACTCTACGGTCCAGGAGAGGCCTCACTCGGCCGTGGGCGGAGACGACTTGGGAGAGGATCGCGCTTGGTGTCATCTGCAGCTGGGAACCTGCTTGGCGCGCTCCGCCGCGCTGCCTCTGCCGGAGTTCAAGATCTAAAGCAAAAAACCAAAACCCAGAAAATAAACCCCCAAGCTGCAGCGCCCGAAGGCTGGATTGCCGGCACCGTACCGAGAAATTAAAATCCCCGAAGCCCCAGGAGGCGCGACTAAGGCTGTAGTGTGTGTCCCACCGAGCCAAGCCTGTGGAAACCGGGGGATCTACTAGGTTGCCATCTGAACAGGTTGCCTCACAGTCACCTGGAGGGGGCGGCCTGGGAGAGGGAACCGCAGCGACCCGGGCACCGCAGGGCCAGCGCCACGCGCACGCTCACGCTCACGCCTGAGGAATTTGCACTTGGGTGTGCAGAGCGCGCGGGTCTGTCCACCAGCCAAGCCAGCCTGAGAACCAGGACCCAAGCAAAGCCCGGAGGGACCTGAGGGCTGAACGAGACCCAAGTCTGTCCAAGATGCCTTTCCAAGCCACGGTGTCCACCTCCCAAAGGGGCTCAAGGGGCAAGTCGCAGCCGGACTGCTGGGGAACGGGGTGGGAAGGGCACTGCTCTGCAGAAGGGTCTTAGCAAGTGACAGTCACTGCGGATTTTGCAGGCGTGAACATTAAGCCCGCATGCCACCGGACAGGGGATGCCCCGCATTTTCTGGACTGAGGGCCACGCTCTGCGTAAGAAGCCAGGGTTTCCACCCCAAAACCCACTGTCGGGACTGGGGCAGGAGTGCGGGGCGTGGGGAAGTGCCCACCTTGTCTTCCACGATCGGGCCCTACAGCGGGACTTCCCTACAAAGGCTACTGTGAAAATCTCAAGTTCAAGACCTCACAGGTGGTAGGAAACACGCCATTGCAGAAACCCACCCAAGCCTACCCCGAGCTGTCCGCGGGGGTTAAACAGACACTTGTTAACTCGGTGGTAACTTCCCACAGGGAAACCCGGTGGGGTAGGGGCGCGGGTATGAGACCTAGTGGACAAAAGTGAGAGATGCCTGGATGAAGTGGGGGTTCCATCTCACCAGGGGGAGGGGAAGTCTGCTCTCACCCACCCGCCCGGCTGGATGCCGGCACCCCACACCCGGTCTCCGCTGCCTCTGCGCACTCACCTGAAGCGCAGATGCGGAGCCACCCGGTAGCATGTGGAGGAAGAGCAGACCCGACTTCGGTCCTAGGAAGGGAGAAGGCGAGAGGGGACCGTCTCTCTCTGGAACCAAATCCTCTCCTTTTGCACCAGCTGACTCACCCCTCCACCACTGATGTCTTTAAGCTCTGGCTCGTTGACGTTTTACCTGGATATTTTAAAATAAAGAGTGAAAATAGGAAAGAAAAAAATACAGAGGACTGATTACTCTACAACCACCCATTTAATATGCAGCTGCCCGACACCAGAAAAGAATGGCAAGGAACTTTGCAGCCCTCGCTGACGTAACACAGGCAGTAGCCCAGCTAGTACCGTAATCTCCTGCTGTTACCGTATTTCTCCGCGGCAACGGGCACATGCGTACGCCTACAACTGTATTTTTCCCTCATGCCTAGAGAGGGTTGGGTTTTCCCTTTTCTTTTTAAAGAGAGAGAGAGACTTAGAGTCACTTTTAGTAAACAACTACTTTAAATGATTTGATTTTAAAAATAAAAATTGACACCTTTGCCAGATGTGGATGTGTAGGGTGTGTTTGAAAAATACTCTATGTGTATAAAGTTACTTTGAACTTGATTACTTTGTCCACGTTTTATTAAAATCAAGAAGCATATTGATGACATTATTATGCCAAATAATAAATTATATTATTTGCTGGTGTTTTGGAAAGCAAGTAAAATCTGATGAAATTTGATAAATCTGATTATAATAAAAATTTATTTCTAGGAAGATGAAGTGAGCATATCTAAATCTTGATAAATATGACCCTCCTCTCTTTTCTTCAGACAAATGAATTTGCATAGTATTATGATCCCACAGCAATTTCTCACATGGTGTATTATTTTTAAAGTATCACACATTTTTTTTGTCAGTTTTCATAAGAAAATGTATTTCTTTTAGGAAAAGAAATAGTACTACTACTAGCTACTTCTCCTTAATTCTCTTTGATTCATTAATAGTTGGAGTTTGAAAAGCTGGCACCCTCAGTCTTATTAACTTTTTTTTTTTCTGGTAAATTCCATGCTTTGTTTATCTTAGGACTAAATAAAACCATGTGTGTTTCAGAATATGGGGAACAAAGAATAATTTTCCCATTCTGATCCCCACCTAAGACATCTTCTTTCATCTTTATTGATTCAGACAGCTAAATGTTCTTAAAGTATTTACTAGGCTCCCTTAAACCTGGTAACACAGAGATAACTGTGAGCAGTGGTATGCACGTAAATTCCCTTCCCTGAACACAAGTTTATTAATATGATTACCTTTTCCAAATGTTTGGGCTCTTGTATGGCAACGAACTCAAAATGCCTTAGTGGAATGTTCAGGGGAGTCAGGGGGCCCTATGTCATTGAAGACCTAATGTTTAGGTTTCTCTCTCTTTCTTGTATGCAAAATCTCTCTTCTCATTTAGGGGAATGGTACTTGCGCCTAACATATTTGATTTAACTTGAATATTATTTTGATAGCATGCAGACAAATGAATTCCTCACTCGTAAACTGAATTTTGTGCCATAGCGGGAGCACCCTGGTGGAACAGGCAACTGTCACTGATTACTAATTCACTTGCTCTCTCTGGGATTCTGTCTTCTCAGGGAGAGGAAGCTGACTACAATTCCCTGCACGTCTTATACCTTATCATCAAATATATGAATAACATCTTTTCTTCAGAAATCCCATCCGTCAGAGAGATAGCCATTGGTTTCATATTCATTAACCTTATGCTATGAATAGGAGCTTTTCTTTAAGATCTGTTCCATGGTAGGTGGGGGAAGTAGTGTTATCGGCAAGAAAACAACAGAACATTGCTCAGCTCTTCAAGGTCGAAATTTACAAGGTTTTTGGAACTCCCGGTTTTGACCTTCCAAAAATCAGGAATACTCACAATCCACCCCACCCCGCCCCAACTCACTAGGAATAGCTCACTAGCTAAGGCCAAGACTGGGAAGAGAAGCTCTCCCTTGCTGCCACCAGGTGGGTCTTTTAAATCTGCTTCTCAGCCTGTGCACATCAATCTTTGCAAAACTAACTTCCAGACCCCATATTCCAGTTGCTAACCTTTGACTCACAAACAAGAAATTATTCATCTATTGATTACTCTTTAAAGCAGTGGTTCTCAGCCTGTGGGTCGTGACCCACAGGAGCTGTATTAAAGGGTCACGGCATCAGGAAGGTTGAGAACCACTGTTTTAAAGGATGATGGACATGGATGTTCCAGAGGTGTCTAAGTTACCCCATGGGTCAGTGGAGTGACAAGGAAGTAGATGGGGGAGTCTTAAAGCTGTTGCTCCTACCCTACTATTAGGCCATGAGAAAACTCAGCTTCTCTGAGCCTTGGTTGCCTAATTTTTAAGAGAGACAAACCCCACAATGGTTTGAGTGAAATTGAATATTTGAATGAAATTATAGTTCTCAAAAATGCAACTCATTAGGCTGGTGGACTCGTTTATTATTAATCTGATTAACCTTTTCCCTTTCTCCTCATTTTGGGTGTCCCTTCAAAGTGAAATGGACTTCTAACTGGGCGTGGTCTGTGAGTGCTGGAAAATTGAGCTGGAGCGTGTACTGACTGACCTGAGCAGTAAGATCCGACATGGCAGAGTTGGGAGAGCTCGCTCTGCTCCTGGCTACTTCTCCTTTTCTTCCCACTTTCCCCCAGTCCTACATCTCTAGGGGTCAGGCAGATGGATGTGAACATGTAGCCCATGTAGCCAGACAGCTGCCTCTTCAGCCTCGGGGTACACACACACCGTGATGTTGTCTGCCCAGAGAGGATGGGCGCAGGTAAGAAGTGTAAAGGCCCTGTAAGTTACTGCATGCCATTTGCAGCAAGGGACCCATTCTGGGTCCCAGAGCATAATCTAGAAGGGAGACACAGGCTCCGGTGGGCATATCACAGTAGTCCTGTGACATGTGGGAAGGCCATGACCAGAGGGAGCCAGAGGTGGGCTCTCTAAAGCCAGAAACTCAAGGCAGGATCTGCCTGGATGTAAGAGTGTTACTCTGCAGACTTAAGGCAGGATGGAAATGGGGAAATCCTCTGAATGGAGGCTCTGGGAAGACTTCTGGGATGATGTGGTTTGATTTTAGGCTTGTAGGATGAGGGGGATTGAGATAGACAACAGTGTGGAAGGTGAACCATCGGTAGCCACATTGTAGAGAGGGGTGTGTGTGTGTGTGTGTGCGCGCGCGCTCAGGGCCACTGGAGGAGTGACTGATTGGAGCAGCAGAGCCGGGCGATCAGCCTACACTGGTGCCTTGATTGGCAGGACCCTGCTAGTGACTAGTGAGAAAGTCAGCAAAGTGTAGGAGGCTTTGAGGCTTAAAAAAAAAAAAATCTGTCTGTCATTCTCTTATAAAACAATACCCAATGGAATTAGGAGCTGTTTTCTGGAATTTATGATTCTAAGTGCCAGAGTAGATGGCTTACTGTCAGCATCTACCCCCAAAGACCTGGCTTTTCAACTAATTCTTCCAAGGCTTAAAAAGTTAAAGAGGGAAGAAAATGAGAAAACATGGCTCAGAAAGATATTGATGCAGACTCGGGACCCAATTCCCCACACGGGCACCGTGTTCTAATCCTTATTGAACGGAGGAAACTGCACGCCACACAGACGCTGCTATGGAAAGTCTTTGATGGGTTAATAATCCTGTCCTTGGCATCATTCATCTGAACTCTCATCACCCGGAGAAAATAACTTGCTCCAAGTCTTGGGAGTCCCGCCTTCCCATCCCTGCAGGTGGGAAGATGGAGTCACATTAGCAAATTATTCCTTTAAAACAATTAAAACTTTGCTCTCGCATAGCAAATGTGCCTTAAGGCATATTAATTGAATTCTCCCAGTATGTTTGTCCGACATCATCTGAAATAGGAAGAAAAAGACCTAAATTGTCATCTGTACCAAGTGCAGAAACGTATTTTTCCTTATATCTTCACTTGCTGATAGGCCGTTATGGGCGTGTTCAAATGTTTATCACCTGTTTGATTACAAAACACGTGTTCAAGACAGCACATTTCCAGCAGGCAAAAATGCATGAAAATAAAAATGATCTGTGATTTCACCATGGAAGAAGTAGCCACCATTAAATATTTGTCACATTTTCTTATCTTTTTGCCCATGTGTGTAAATTATTTACATAGACATATGTATGTTTAAAATACATATAGGAAATATGCTGTATACATATTATGTATCTTTTATTATGTGTGACATGTGGATAATTTATATATTGTACATGACATACATATACACAATACTGTAATCATACTGTATCGACAGTTAGGTATTCCTTATCCGCATATTATTTCATGAATTCATTCTCATAAATTAAATTTGCACCAAAACGTGATTTATAACAGCTGCGCAGCAACTCTATCCCATGTATACGTCATCCTGTACCCGCCGTGGTCTGAAAGTCTGTGTCTCTGCCCCACACCCCACCCCCAGCAAAATGCTTACGTGGAAACCAAACTCCAAGGGTGAGGGTATTAACAAGTGGAACCTTTGGGAGATGATAGATCAAGCAGGCTTTGCCTTCATGAATAGGATTAGCGTCTTTGTTTTTATTTTATTAAATCATAGCTGTGTACATTAACGCAGTCATGGGGTACAATGTGCTGGTTTTAATATACAATTGGAAGTATTTTCATCAAACTGGTTAACATAGCCTTCGTGGCATTTTCTTAGTCATTGTGTTAAGACATTTATATTCTACATTTAGTAAGTGTCACGTGTACCCTTGTAAGGTGCACCGTAGGGGTGGTCTGTGTCTTTATAAAAGAAGGATCCTCTTTGCCCTTCTGCTGTGTGAGGACACATAGGAGTCACATCTGTGAGAAATGGGCCCTTACGGGACGCTGAATCTACTGGCACACTGATCTCAAACTTCCCAGCCTCAGAATTATGAGCTATACTTTTCTATTATTTACAAATTATCTTGTCTAAGGTATTTTTTTTATTAAGTCATTTGTACATAGATCACAAATACATGGATGCCATTATGGGATTCAATGTGTTGATTATTTGTACAAATTGGAGTGCTTACATCCTACTAATCAACACAGCCTTCACCTCATTCGCCCAATTACAGCGTTAGGACATTTGTGTTCTACACCTGATAGATCCAACTTGTACTTGCAATATGCTCCATAGGTGTGGTCCCCCTACCGACCCTCCCTTTATCGAAGTCAAGGTATTTTGTTATAGCAACCTGAACAGACAGACTAAGACAGTATATGTCATGATAAATTTAAGTATTTGAATATTTAGGCCTCTCAAGAACTTTTGATCTTTAACTTGTACTGTGATCTATACTTTCCCATATAACATTGCATTCTAATTTTTTTCTCAAGATTAATTTCTATCACTAGAAATTAGAAGATCAAAGACTATGAACATTTAAGTAGGTTATAATACATGCTGACCTCTAGAAAGGTTTTACAAATGTAAGTGTGAAATGTAAATTCTCAACAAAACTTATCATTATTTTTTTGGGAGGGGTTTGAATGTTTCCAATTTTATTATATTTTTATTATGAAGTATGCATAATAAACTAGACAAGAACATAAATATACATAAAATAAGACTTTTGAAAGGTAAAATATTGGTGTTCTTTTTTTTTTTTTTGGCCAGGGCTGGGTTTGAACCCTCCACCCTCAGCATATGGAGCTGGCACCCTACTCCTTT